ATTGTGATGCCAACTAAAATAGCTACAGATGGATCAATTTTTGAAAGTTCTTCAATTACTAAAACGGTTGTGGTAAAAGAACAACCGGATCCTCCAAAATCTAATGGAACTTCGATTCCCATTAACTAAAATCATTAAAACATTATTTTACATTGGGAGGGGGGGGGGAATACAACATTTAACATGATGTAAAAGTTTATAAATTCAACATGAACTTACCCCATTTTCAAATAACATTTGAATCACATTTTCCGGCATGTATCCATCTTCGTCCATTTTTTTAACATGAGGAGCTAATTTCTCTGCAGCAAATTTCGCCACTGAAAAGGGAATCAAAAGCTTATTGTAAAGCTAGAATATTTCATTTATGTTTTAAAACCTGAAAAAAATATAACATTTACCATAAAACGTTTTTTTAACTAATTTAACTTTTTAAAATACAAATTCATTAAAAAAAAAAATTTTTCCACAGTTTTGAAACTCTCGATAAACACTCATTTAAAAATTAATGCTTTTTTTTTCGTATCAACTTTTTTGTAAATTAAAAATATCAATAAGTTGTTTTTTCTTACTATTTTACAGTGCTTTAATTTAAGTAAATTATAAATAATTTAATTTAAGAAATTAAAATAATAAGCATTACCTGTTGTTTTCATGACTGATTCGTCTTCTGTTAGGTAACATAATGGAAGTGGTTTTGAAGCCGTTACGAAAGATTCATTATGTATTAAACGACGTTGTAACCTCGTCTGCAAAAAAAATTTCATTAAATTAAAAACAAAAAGATTTCAATTTTATTTTTAAAATATAATTTTAAAAGTATATATTATTATTCATTTATTTATTTACCCTTTATTAATATTTTATATTATGTTTTAATTATTAATTATTAATTAAGAAAGTAAAAGTAGATGTATTAATAATAATAATAAAAAGCCACAAAAAAACTGTTATAGAATTTTAACAGATGACAAACGTTAATCGTTTAACCGAATAAATAAAATTGTATAAAACAAAAGAAAATCAAACGATAATATATTGTCAACAAAAAAAATTTTTTCGAATAATTAAAAAATTTTACGTTTTTAATTAATAATGAATTTTTAAAATTATGTTAATTAAAACTTTAACCAAAAATTTATTAAAATCAAGAGGTATTAATAGTCAAAGTTAATTGAAAAAATTATTTTAGCGGTTAATTGTTTTTTTTTTTTTTTTTTTTTTTTTATAAATAAAAATTTAATTAATTAAATTTTAATATTACAAACCACAGGTCTAAATAATTTTCTGTACATGTTAAAAAAAAAAAAAAATAAATAAATCAAATACTGTTAAAAAAAAAAATGAGATAAGAACGACAATGTTGTCACTACTGACATGAAATCACTGTAACGAAATAAAATGTTTACACTGCGCATGCGCGCGATTACGTATTGTATAAATCATCTTAAATTTTTTTTTTGAAAAAATATTTGTTTTAAAAATTTCCATGTTTTTTTTTTATTTTTTTTTATTTTTCAATTGTTCTTTTGAAGAATAATTTTTTTTTGTGAAATTAATGAAAAAAAATTTGTAAAGTTACAAATATAAAATTTAATTTAAAAAAAAAATTTGAGTGACTTTTAAAGTTTTCCCTTTGTAATTATAATTTATAAATATTTAAAATTATTATTTTTGCATTTATCATCAAAATGATTATTTATTCATATTATATTATTACTAAATAAATATTTGTTTAGAAATTTAAATTATTTTTTAATTATATCCTTAACGGATTAAAGTAGTTTTACGTCACAATTTTATTATCGAAGTGAATTCTTACATTTTAACGGAAATTATTTGTTTTTGTTTTTTTTTTTTAAATTTTAAAAATATATTCTTTTATTTTTATTAAAGAAAATTTATTTTAATTTTAATTACCTTTACCCATCTTTAAAAACGTTAACGGAAACTTTTTAAAAAAAAAAAAAAAAAAAACAGTAGAGAAATTTGTCGCCATTTTTTAAATTTTCATTCCAATCATTTTGTTTTAAAGTTTTGACCATAGAGGGCAGCCTTAAAAAAAAAAGGCGGGAAAGTTTTATCTAATGAAAAGTTTAGCAAACGGTCAAAATAAACAAATATTACAAACCATCTCAACACAAAAAATATTTTTTTTTTAAATATCAAAGTACATATTTGGGATTGACATAATAGTTTATTTTTATTTAATATTTGATTTTAAGAGAGTAAAAGATTACGTGACAACATTCAAGTTCATAATTGTGTACTTACAAAAAGGATTTCACATAATTTTTTTTACAATAAATACCTGCCATTATTTTATTAAAATAAAACATTTTAACCGTTCATTCACAATTAAAAAATTCAATACAATTTCAATGTTAATTTATATATATATTTAACTATAAATAAATGATACATTTAATTTATATTAAAATTTTTAATAAAAAAAAATGCTTTTTTTTTTTTTAAACAATCAATTGTTAACCACTAAAATTATTTACACCTATAACTAACTACCTTAGCTTTTTGTTACTGTATGTTTACAATTTTTTTTTTTTAAATTACATCATAGCACAAAACTCCTTAAAACCAAAAAAAAAAAAAAAATTAAATTTCTTAAAAATATAATTATATTAAGGCTTTTAATATATATATTTCCTCCGTACACATGAGCAATTTATAAATTGACTGTATATAAAAAAAAAAAAACTTTTTTAATTGTGCTTAAATATATATATATATATATATTATAAGGTATTATTATTATTAATTTATTTCGAGCATTTAGAGAGTTAGAGAAATTTATTTATTTATTCCTCGACCGACGTTTTTATTTTTTTTTTGTTTTTAAAAATAATATTGCATTTTTTTTTTTTTTTTTAAAGCACTTATTACATCTATAACTGTAAGCTTGAGCTAATTTAATACATAAGGTTCACTTTTAGTTTTTTGTTAAAAAATGAGCTAACCTATCTGTCCTAAAAGCTTAAACATAATATTACAATGTATAAAAACCAACTTTCGTAGTTGTAAAATTCCATTCGCGAAAATTAGTTAAAACAAGATTAAAAGCAAGAGTAGCCATAAAGCCACTACATCTTTAAGCGTTTACATTAATTCTATCATCATTTGACAAAAAATGTAAAAATTAATTTTTTTTTTTTTTTTTTTTACTTTGTCTCACTTTCTTTATCGGCTTCTTCATCAGAATAATCTTCATCGTGATAGTGAGTCAGAGATCTTGGCGTTTCAGGTCTGGTATGAGGGATTAAACTCGAATTTCTTTCGCAAACCTAATATCGAATGAATATTTATATAAAATTCTATTATTTTTTTAATTTTTACCTTGTTTGATTGATGATGAAAAATTTATTTTTTTCTTACAAGTTTTGTATTGCTCTCCTCAGATTCTTCCATAACTGATAGATTACGAGATCTGCAAAAAACTGGACTTTCCATAACGAATCTTTGTTCGTGTGCGACGGTGGATTCGTGTGGCATCTGAAAATTTTTTCATTTTGAAAAATCAGGGTATTATTATTTTTGAAAGAAAAATGGGTAAGTATTTTTTTTTTACCAGCATAGCAGGAGCTCTGAACATGTAACTGAAGGGATAATAAATAAGATTAAGGAAGGAAGCTGCATAAATATCCGCGTATCTGACGACTTGAGAAGAGAAAAATGTTTGCCTCGATCCCGATCTAAATAAACTTCCCATCATTCCGTAGGCCAAATCCATTTTGTGTGTCACTTCACGAATTCCATTTCTTAATTTTGAAATGTCGGGTTTTTCTTTGGTACTGCTGTCTAAATTTCTGTCGCGATGAAAATTAATAAAATTCATTATTCCCTGCCAATTATCTACGTACGTAAACGTGGAAAAATTTTAATATAAAATCAAAATTCTTACTTATACATTTCTCCAAGCATTACATCCAAGTTTTGAAGTTCTGCAAACAACTGACATTTATCAGTCCACACGTGAAGTTCTTGCACCAATTCCGGTATAACCAAAAACGTTCTCCAACCCCTAATTTTTTTAGATTTAAGTATGTCTCCGAATATGTGATCACCGATGTACAAAACATCTTTGCCCTTGGCACCGATCAATTCGGTAAATACGTCACAGGAACCTGAAAACACAAAAAAACGTGTGAAATGTTTAACTTTAAATTTTCATACGAAAAAAAAATTTTACTTAATTATAATCACCTCCGGAATAAACTTGCCCCTTTTGCAGGGGACCCATGTGAGTTCCCACTTTTAATGCTCCCGTTGATGTATCAACTTGCCTTAAAATTGTACCCTCCCCGAAAAACAATGGCTTACTCGCATTTACCACGATGACGTCGAAAAAAGTTTTCCAATCTTTGTGTGATCCAGAAGGCTGTAAAAAAAAAAAAAAAAAAAAAAAAATAATATTATCAACTCATTTTAGATTTATTTAAAATTTTCTTGGCGACATTAGAGGAGTGGAAAACCGAACCACGTGTACCTTTACTAAGTTTGGAAAATCGAATAAATGCGTCATGATTTTATCCGTAAAACAATAATCGCTATTTGTGAGTAAAAATAATTTGGCTCCACTTTCCCGTATTCTTGTTAAAAGCATCGGAAGACGTTCATCTTTTTTTAAATATTCATCTAAATTACGGATTGTCCTGGATTTCAAATCTCCCTAAAAAAAAAAAAAACCTCCACGTTGTAAATATACCTGTAAGGGATGAAAATGAATGAAATTGAAAAAAAAAAAACAAATAATTACGTGTATGTGAACCCAATCGACAGAATTTCTAACATCTTGAAAAATTGATTTAAAAGACATAAATAAAGAACCACTTCTAACTCCGGTTTTTTCCCTAGGGATCAAAATAAAATGGTGAGACATGATTACAAAAAAATTCGTTAATAAATCACTATTATTATTATTATTATTATTTAAATGGGGTTACATTACCTCGTGTATTCAGTTGAATTTGTAAAAAAATCAATTAAACATGCTAATAAATAAGTTTCGGGTAAATTAAATAATGTGTTCAATACGTAAACTCTACTTTCGTCCAATTGCAAAAATTTATTCGGATATAATTCATATACTTGTGATCTGTTGAAAAAAAAAAAACCGTTATTTACAAAGTTACAAACTAATTAATTTTAAATTTACAAAAATATAAGATAATAATAATAATAATAAAAACTCACGATTTTAAAAAATCAAAACCGGAAACGCAAACTAATATGTTTCCGTAAGCATCAACCTTTAATAGATTTCCGTATAGCGTATCAAACCAAAGACCTCTGTAATATTATATTAATATTATTAGTATTATTAATAATAATTAAATAAATAAATGCGTTAATAATAATAATAATAATAAATAAATAAATTTACCTGACGGGAAAAGAGGGATCGTATTCGAATTCTAATATAGCATCCGGATACCCGAAAGCAACCAATCTTTCCTTAACCAGATTAAATCCCAATGTTTCATATTGTGGGGATTTGTATTCTGTAAAACGCAGGAGGAAAATTTTTTATTATCCGTTACAAACGGAAAAATGGAAAATGGAAAATTGAAAAATATATATATGTAAACACACTCACCTGCCAATGTGTAATCCATATCAAATCCATAAAATTTAATATGTTCTAAATGCAAACTCCTGTTAACGAAAATTCTGGAAAAAAAAAAAAAAAAATTATTATTATTATTATCAATACGCATCGATAATTTTTATTATTTTAAATAAATTTTTACAATTCATCAAAAAAAATTATTAATTAATTAATTTATTTATGTAAAATCTCACACATACAGATAAATAAAAAAAAAAAAAAAAAATTAACAGAATTTCGATTTTAATTAATTAATAAAACTTTTTGAATTTAAATAATACACGTAATTAAATAATTATAAATTTCCACTTTGCTCATTAATGTTTACTTTGGTCATTTTTTTTTTTTTTTACGATTTAAAACATAATAATAATAATAATAATCATTTCCGTACAATTTTAAATTTTATATATTTATATATAAATAAATAAATAAATTCTGTCGGCTTAATTATTAATCAATCAACATTATAATTTTAAAAAAAATGACATTTTATAATAATAATCGTTTCATGTATTACATATGTCTATACTGTTAGATAGATTTACATTGTATTGATAAATTTTTTTTGTTTACAAATATACATAAATAAATAATAATACTAATAATAATAATAATAATAATAATAATAATAATAAATGGAAAACGGTTTTTTTTTTTTTCCATTGAATTTTCTTTCGTTTTTCGAACAACTTACCTATTTGATATTGGTCTCTTGTCCACCCATTTAACAATTGTTTGCCCTTCGGAAAATGTATCTAAATCTTGTTCGCCAAGATTGAAACTAGAATTTCTTGGCATTCCGGTTAAATTTGGATCGAATTCGGATCCGGAAAATCTTGGAAAATTTGTATTAGCCGACGATCTCATGTCGTCGGTTTCTTTGACTCCTTCTTGTTCGTTAGTATTTCTCTTTCTCTGAGCTCCAAGAGTTAATATTTCTTGTGTTAAACGATCGATATCTGATTTAACTTCGTGCTTGGCACTTCCATTTCTTGAAGATGATGAGGAAACATCGAGAAATCGATAATTTTTATTTGACATTTTCCTCTTTGGTTTTTTTTTTGTCAAAAAAAAAAATTATAATAATAATTTTTCCTTAAAAAATTTAAATTCAATTCACTGTCATTCACTGTCTCAATTAAAACAGTTTAAAATTGTTTTATTTTTGAGCTTTGACACTTTATCTATTAGGCTCTTTGGATCACTATAATGCACAATAACAATGACCTTTAAACTTGAGGTTACCTCATAAGATTGACCATAAACTTTTAAATTTTTTTTTTAATTTAAAATATTTTAAAATTGCATCTAAATAATAATAAGAAAAAAATCAATTCAAAACAAAACAAAACAAAAAATTAAATTTTTTTATACTTTTAAATATTGTAAATAATTGTTTAAAAAAATTTATATATAAATAAATTGTTTTCTCTCTCTCTCTCTCTCTCTCTCTCTCTCTCTCTCTCTCTCTCTCTCTCTCTCTCTCTCTTTTTAAATTTATTTGTTTAATTATGAGATGATAAATTAATCAAATACAATTTATTTGTTTTGTGATTGCAAAAACATAAATGCAAGAAAATTTTTCTTTTTTTTTTTTTTTTTTGGATTTTAATTTCCTTTCTTTTT